AGGGTAGGGTACTTTGTAGGCACTATGAGTCCTCTGCATTGAGTCACTTCTGACCCACAGTGACCCTGTAGGACAGAGGAGAACTGCTCCACAGCATTCTGACATTGTAACGTTTTCTGGGAGCAAGCAGCCTCGTCTTTCTGCCATGGAGCAGCTAGTGGGTTTGAACCAGCAATCTGGCAGTTAGTGTCCCAACACTTAACTCATTGTAGCATGCAGGCTCATTGTAGTTACTATAATTTCCACTGTACTTCACAATCAGTGAGGCAAGCCACCCTCGTTTTCTACATGCAAGATTTTCCATGTCATAATGATGGTATTTCTGAAATATTTTCTGCTTCTGACTCAGCCTCTACATTTAGCCCTTATTACCTCCTCACCAGACTTCATCTCTGCAGGAAGGCACAGCACGTGGCTTATTTACTCCTCTGTTTCCAATGCCTAGCACATGGTAGGCCTTCAATAAGGTTGGTTCAATGAAAGAACCCGAATTCCTAACTAGTCGTCTTACCTTCAAGTGTCTTTTTTTTCTAATTCACTCCCATGATGCATCAGTTTTCTCTAAAAATATATACAGTTCTACTTAGACCCTATACACACTCATAAAACCATCTTAAGATTCTTCCTTGTCTGTAGAATAAAGTACAAACTTATGAAAATCACATTCAAGATCCTTTACAGTCTAGTCCATTTTTCCAAGTACGTCTCACAGCTCTCAACTTCCCTCCCCATCCTATGATTTATTCTTCCACACACCATGCAAGTTCACCCTCCCAAACCATCACTCAGCTGTTTCCTTGCCTTGAATAACCTTCTTTTCACTCTACTTACTCATCTGGTGGAATTTCATAGATCCTTTAAAGTATAGCTTAGGTGTCACCTTGTCTAACACCTTCTGCTCCACCAAGCAAAGGTGGTTCTTTGGTGCTCTCATGGAACCTGTCTTGTAATTCTCTTCTTACTTGTTTCTCATTATATTATAGTTGGTTTTCTCTCCTTCTTGTATCAGTTCTTTGAGAGCAGGGATTGAATCTTAGTATTCTTTAAACATCTCCCAAAGCTGAGTACCTCTTACCACCTCCGCCATTATCACTCCAGCTCAAGCCACTAATATTTCTCATCTGTCCCATGGAATAGAACATGACTGGCTCCAGATAGCACACTTGCCACCCAACAGCCAGCCGACTTGCTACAAAGCCACCAATCATTCTTCAACAGTATAAACAATCATGTGCCTTTCCTCAAACCAGCTAATGGCTTCTTTGCACTTAGGAAAAGTTCCCAAGCCCTAGATGACGGAGCCTCTGCCTTCCTCTCAACCTCATCTCTATCTCTCTTCCTCTTGCTCATGCCCGGCCCACTTGTCTCCTTGTGCCTGAGTGACTTACCTAGTATTATTTAATAGTACTTTACAACAACAGCAGCTATCAGAGAAATACCACAAACAAACCAAAAAATACCAGACCCAGTGCCATTGAGTCATGTCTGACTTAATAAACAAAATTTATTTTTGCAGTTTATATTTGCAGGCTAGAAATGTGAATTCAAGGTGCTGGCTCTGGGAGCAAGCTTCCTCTTTCTGTGGGTCTTGAAGGAAAGGCCTGTCTCTTCAGTTTCTGCTCCTAGGTGACCTTCATATGGCTTGACAGAGCTCTTCTCCATCTCCGCTGCTTTTCTTCCTTGCTTAATCTGCTCCTTGTTTATCTCAAAAGATATAGACTTAAGAAGCACCTACACTAATACTGTCTCATTAGCATCACCAAGAAACCCTATTCCCAAATGGGATTATGATTGCAGGTATGGGGTTTACTACACATTTGTTGGGGACACAATTCAATCCCTAACACCTTGCTTCTCCTTGAACATGTCAGGTTGCTCCCTCTCAGGACTTTGAGCTGCCTCCCACTGCCAGGAAAGCTCTTCCTCCAGATCTTAGCTTCCCTTCACTTCAGTCTCCTCACATGTCACCCCTCAGACAGGCCTTCTCTGAAGCATTAACCTCCTTTACACCCTACTGTCTTCATTGCACTGAATACCACCAATGCTAACTTGCCACCATTTTCTTTTTTCTTTGCCCACATGAAGTCTCTAGGCTTGAACTGCTGACCTTGTAGTTAGCAGCTCAATGCTTAGGCCGTTCTATTACCAGGGCTCAATACACAGAACAAAAAAACCCCCAAAGCCACTACTACTGAGTTGATTCGGACTCACATTGACCCTGGAAGCTGTTTCTGAGGCTATGAACATCTTTAAGAGAACCAACCACTTCATCTTTCTCCTACTGGTGAACCTCTGACCTTATAGCTAGCAGCTTAGCACCCAAACTACAGTGCTCCCAGGGTTCCTTGTACTTAGAATGTTGTTGTTGTTGTTGTTAAGTGCCTTGGAGTTGGTTCCGACTTAGAGTGACCCTGTATAGGGTTTCCAAGACTTTTAAATCTTTTGGGGAGCAGAGAGTCTCATCTTCCTCCCACAGAGCAGCTGGGGGGTTCAAACTGCAGACCTTGTGGTTCACAGTCCAGTGCTTATCATAATAGTGCCTTACAAATAACAGGTACTCGGTAAATAGTGATCAAATCTTTGTTTCTCAGGTGCCTAATCTAGTGCCTGGCCCTATAGATGTTTAATGATTGGCCCAAATCAGTACATTTTACAAATGAAATGAAACCCTGGGATCTATCCAGGTTGAATATTAAATCAAATAAAGTTTTTTGTTGTTTTGTTTTGTTTGTAATCTATTTGCTCCAGGCACATCATTCTGAATTCTTTTCTTTGATGGTCACAACTGATGTAATCACATTCCTCCGTTTTTCAGAAACCAGTTGGTGAGCAAGGTCTTGTCCAAGGATACTTATGGAGTTTCCAAATGACAACCAAGAGTGATCACCCAGTATGGAGTCAGACTGTCCATCAGCCCACTGCGTCTGCTCCACTCCTGAGGGATTCTGACATGGTGCATCAGTCACCTCTTGTGAATCATCCTGAATGTACATTTGTTGTTCAATCCAGTCAAACTTTGGTGTTGTTGGGGCAGAGCAAGTAGGACAGTGATTAACTCCAGAGTCCAAGACGGTGGTCTCTTTACAGCCTGTGTGTTCTAGTGAACATCGCTGCAAACCTTCAGAGCCTCGTGGTTTGAGCCTGTCTGCATCAGCACCGGAGCCTCAGGGGCCTCCACAGGGTACTTCAGTCCCTTGCATTGGGTAAACTAGGGAACAGCTTACTAAACTTCCTATGTTCCCTTTCACTGCTGGTCAGTTGTGTTCCCTGGCAGCCGGTTTGTCTTAATCTCTTGTTTGTGTTTAAGTAAGAGAAAGCAGCAGACGGTGCAGAGAAGGGTGAACCCCTAACATGAGTGAAGTGCAGCGGGTTAAACATCTGTCTGGCTGTGCTTCAGATGAGGCTAAAAGGGAGCCAGACTGTATCCTGTTTTCATGCATGGATAGCACTAAAACCAGACACCAGAACAGGGAGAACCTGGAAGGTGTACACACACATATACACACACACTCACGTACTCCCACTGGTGGTGGTAGTGGTTATTTGCCAGCCCCAACTCAAAGCGACCCTATACAGGGTTTCTGAGGTTGTCAATCTTTACAGGAGCAGAAAGACTCATCTTTCTCCTGCAGAACAGCTGGTAGTTTTGAACTGCTGACCTTAAGGTTCGCAGCCCAATTCGTAACTACTACGCTACCAGAGCTCCTTACATACTCCCACTGTTGGTTGGTAAGTACCATAGAGTCAGTTCGGACTCATAGTGACCCTGCACAGGGTTTCCAAAGCTGTAAATCTTTACGGGAGCAGAACGCCTCGTCTTTCTCCCGCGGAACCGCTGGTAGTTTCGAACGGTGACCTTGAGGTTGGCAGCCCATCTCGTAACCATTACACTTTCAAGCATTCTGTAACTGAATAAGAGTGGTAGGTGGGACCTCGTGAGTGGCAAGGCAAGTAGCTGAACTGCATGTGCGCCCGATGCTAAGCACTGGGCTGGGCCTCCTGTGAGCGGAAGGTCATCTGAAGTTGGCTACCAAGAAGTTAGTTAGGATTGTCATATGCGTTTTACAGAAGAGGAAAATTAGATTCAGTGAGGAGATGGCACTTGCTCAAGTCATACAGATGGGAGGGGGCCTGTGTGACTCACTGGCTGCTAAGAGCCAGGATTTCTCCAGTGGCTAGAAAGGCACCAAGGGGAGAGGGGGAAAAGACCTGGAGGGGCAACAAATGGGTCCTGCCTGAGACTTGATCATCAGCAGGCTACGAATGCCCAGTCTAGTCACCTAGCTTCCAGGGAATTCTGTGGTGATTTACCAGGTCATCCTAGTTCCATTCCGTGGCATACCAGCGTCATCCTACCCCATTCTGAGGGATACAGGGTTACCCTAGTTGCTCACTGCCCCCATGGTACCTGGATTGGATGGAGCACCAGAGCGTGGCTCCTTTTTTACTAGCAGTGCGTCATTCTGGCCTTAGTGTTCTCCACAGTGGTGACTGAGGGCTTTCCTCTTCCTTGGGTTCCCTTCACCTCTCTATTAATTTCAAGATTATATCGCCTGGAGGGGGTCCTGGTGTGGTGCTGCAGGAACAGCACTGGACTGTTAACCACAAGATCGGTGGTTCAACCCCACCATCTGCTCCCCAGGAACCTTATACAGGGTCTCTATGAGTCGGAACCGACTTGACAGCACTTAACAACAACAATACACACTGTGGAGTGAGCAGTCCCAGAGCACCATGGGTATCTCCAGGCCTGAAATAGGGTACCGCCAGCGCCACCAGGGTTTTGGCCTCTTTGGGGTGCTTGCTTCACCGAGCCCCTTTCCAGGCGTGTTGGGCTTGGAACTGAAGCGCCCCCCTGAGTTGCCTGGAGCCACCCGGAAGCGGGGCTCCCCGAGCGCGCGCGGGGCGGGGCAAGGGGCGGGGCACAGCGCTACCTGGGCCGCTGGGGAGCTGGGGGTGGGCTCTTGGGGCAGCCCGCGAACACCACCCCCCCACCCCAGATCCGCACCGCCAGACGCCAGGGAGCTCTGGGCTCCGGGTGCAGAGGCTGCGCTGTCACATGGGTGGCGGCGACGGGGCCGCATTTAAGCGGCCGGGGGACGGCGCCCGCCTCCAGCGCGTCCTCGGGCTTGGCTCCCGCCGGGCGCCCAGCTCTCTGCCCGCTGGGGGCCCTGTGCCGCCCCCGCCGGGCCATGCGAGCGCCGGCCCCGCCGCGATGAGCTCGCACATCGCCAAGAGCGAGTCCAAGACGTCGCTGCTGAAGGCGGTGTCGGGGAGCGGGGGCAGTCGGGCTCCCCGCCACGGCTCTGCCCGGGAGCCCGGGCCGCCCGGCCGCCGACTGCACGGTGCTGGTCCCGGCACGCCGCCACCTCCCGGGGACCCCAGTTCTCGGAGGCCCCTGTGCCGGCCAGTACCGCGAGAGGAGGGCGTGCGGGGGAACCGGCGCGGGCTCCCCACGGAGCGCGGCAGGCCCCGGGAGACACTGCCGGCCGTGGCACCCCGACCTGCTCCGCTGTCGCCGCTGCCACCGGCCCGCGGGCGGGATGGGGAGGAACGGGGATTGTCCCCGGCGCTCGGCCTCCGGGGCTCTCTGCGAGCCCGGGGCCGCGGGGACTCTGCTCCAGCCACCGGGTCGGAGGCGGACCCGTTCCTCCACCAGCTGCGCCCCATGCTCAGCTCCGCCTTCGGCCAGGTAAGGGCCGCACCTTCCACCCGCGCTCCCGGGAAAGGTGCTCGGGACCCTGCAACCACTTCGTGCCCCTCGCCTTTCTCCCCCTGCTTGCAGACTCTCGGGTCACACCACTGCTCCCCAAGTCTTCCCTGGCTCGGTGCCCCTGCCGGCATTCCTTTGCCCTTGCGCCGGATTCAGCACCCTGTGCGCTGTCCACGCTCTGGTCCTCTTTTGGGTACCGCCGCCTTGCTGCCTCATACCAGTTGGGACCACCAGCTCTGGCCACTGGCCACTGGCCACCGTCACCGCCCACCCTCACTGCTCACTTGCTCAGCACAAGGAGGGTCGCTCCAAACAAGTGATGCTGAATCCACTTCTCTGGCTGACCATGACTGCCAGCAAGTGACTTAAGAGACCAGGGTGTGGAGTTGGGGAGTCAAAAAAGGGGACCTCAGAGCACACAGACTTGCTTGGGGATGAGGGACCCTCAGAGACCTGGGAAAAGAGGCATGGCAATGAGCAAGTTAGGAGAGCTAGGAGGAGACTCGAGGAAGTGATGAAAGAGACTCCAGGGCTGGCAGGGAGACGCTGAGTACTGGTTCAGACTGGCACTTTGGGGGTGTTCTAAGGAGGTTGGTACCTCCGTTGAGAAGTGTTTTTAGTTACAAGATATGGAGACGCACTCCGAGGTACCTAGCCTGGATCAGTGTGCATTCTGGGGCTAGAAAAGTCATTGGGATCCCAGTATGCCCTCTGTCCCCCCAACCTTTCCCTTGTGGTCTCAGGCCTTTAGAAATTGCCTCATAGGCATAATCCAGCTCTCAGGTGTGAGGACTTGCTGCTGGGCAGAGAGGCTCAGCTGAAAGGAACCTGTGCAGTCCTGAGAGACAGACGCCAGGTTCTCCTCACGTCCTGAGTCCGTAGGCAAGGCAAACTCATTGGTGCAGCAGTGAGACATTTCTGCGGCAGCCAAGGAGGGTGTAATGCAGAGGGCTGACTGGAGTGTTTGCACAGTGGGGGAAGGGGGAAACAGGGAGTGTAGGGGGGGAGGGGTCTGAGTGTGTAAGGAAGCTGTTTCAAACTCCTGGCTTAGTCAGGCTGGATCCAAATCCCAAGGAGTCCTTTGTGTGTGTTGTTTGCTTTAGATCTGCACATTCCTTTTCAAAATACTACTTCACAGCGGCTGGTGCCGGCAGAGGTCTGACATGAAGGCAGATGCACATGGATTTGGGTTGCTGTGCTGCTGTGTGTGGTTGTGCTCCTGCCGGGAGCCCTCATTAGCCAAGTGAGCTGGAAACAGTTCTCGGAACAGGGATTTATTTGGAGGCCGCGCTGCGAGAGTGCAGCGATGGGTTGAGGAAGAAGTTGACTGCAGTGGCGGATGTATAGACTCAGAGTCAGGGCTTTGAAAACCAGATCAGTCTGGGTTGACCCCCCAGCTGAGAATTTGCCTTGCCAACCCAAGTAGAAGAATCACTTGGGGATCTTGGTAACATGTAGATTCTGTTTCAGTACTTTAGGGTGGAAAGGTCAATTCTCAGCAGGGGCGAACCTGGAAAGGACCACTTGGAAGCCTTGGTACTATGGAAGAGGGGGGTGTGGGACTGTTAGGTCAGAATGACTCAGTGACATTTATTCATTCAATGTTCAAATATGTCTTGAGTGCAGCTTTGCACCAGGCATTTACTAGGCACTGGGGATTAGAGGAAAACCTCACCCAACAAGATGGAATGGTATAGTGGTAGCAGTAATGTAGCAAACCGTTGTGAGGATGGCACAGGACCAGTGTTTCGTTCTGTTGTGCACAGGGTCACTGTGAGTCGGAACCAACTTGACTGCACCCAACAACAGAGACTGATGAAGTGGTAACAACAGAGGACTCAGAGCTAGCAGTGAGTGTGAGAATGGTGCAGGACCCGGGGTGTTTCAGTCCATTGTACATAAGATCTGTATGAATTGGAATAGACTCGATGGTGCCTAACAACAACAGGAAGACAACAGAGGAGCTCTGGTAGAGCACTGGTTGAGTACTCAAGTGCTAACTGAAAGGTTACTGGTTCAAACCCTCCAGCTGCTCTGCACGAGAAAGATGTGGCAGTCTGCTTCTGTAAAGATTCTGGTTGTTAAGTGCTGTCAAGTCACTTCTGACTCAAAGCCACCCAGTATATGGTTTCTGAGGTTGTAAATCCTTGCAGAACCAGAAAACCTCATCTTTCTTCTGGTATGGGGCAGTTCTGCTCTGACCAATGCGTGAGAATTGACTTGACAGCATGAAGTTTGGTTTGGTTTTTAGGGAGACAACAGTGGACAAGTCAGCCAGGGTCCTGGCCGTTTTGGAGCTCCTACCCTAGCAGCAGGTAGGAAATCTAGGTAAGGGCCCAGAATCACACACTTGGTGGTCCTTTAGTTTGCTGGCTTTGAAAGTTGGCTCCTGGAACACAAAGAGCTCCTGCTTTATCATCTTGTAGGATTTGCCTGCACAGGCCCTTTCTGAGCTCAGAGCGTTCCAGCTACATGCTCTTGTTCCCCCTTCTGCTTTCTCCGTCCTAGAAGGAAGACTACACTCCAGCCCAGTGTTCTGAAATGTCACCAGGGTTACCTGAGTCAGGAGGAGCTAAAGGCCCCATCAAATATTTACTGCCTGCCTCTGGGACTCCAGGCGCTTTCTTTAAAGCCCAGGACACTCATTGGCCTTCCTGTGGTTACTCTCCAAGGGATCTGTTTAAACAACAGCTACCACAATACAACCTGGGCTGGGACTTTTCCATCCAAGCTAATTTCTCAATGACACAGAGAAATTAGTCTCTCCTTCCCTCCTCTCTGCATTGAAGTCTCTGTCCTTAAAGAATGGGCTGGAACCAACAGACAGGAAATGGGGCTCCAAGGACAGAAACTTTCAGATAACATCTGCTTAGCTCCAGATCAAGCCCTGGGGAGGTATATTTTCCATGTTTCACAAGCTCCATCTCTTGACCTTTAGGTCTTTGTGAGTCAAAAATCTATTTGATGGCATACAACAACAACAGCTTAATCTCATTAAGCCTTTGTGGTTGCTTTTAAGTCTACAGAGCAGGGTAATCACAGTACCTCCATGGGATCTGGGAGGGATTAAATGGGATCTGGAGATATGTGAAGAGTTTGGCCAGAGTACATGACTCTATCAGTGGGAGTTAGTATCATTGCTGTTGTTATTAACTGTCAAGGGTTGTGTTGGACCTCCTCCTTCCTGTTTTCCATTGAGCTAGGGAGCTCCAAGGTTCACTGAGACACTGATGGTGCCCAGATATAATACCACATTAGGATGAACAGGAATTCAGACTCTTCCCATGACCTTGCAGAGCTTCCTCGCTACTTTCAAGGAGTCAGCATGGCTTTTAGGTGGAGGCAAAGAATGAGAGGTTGGGACACGTTCCAGTTGCAGGTTCCTGTTACTTCCCATCTCTGACTTTCAGGCTCAGAGTACTCATCCAGAAGTACGCTTGACAAAACTACCTTGTAGAGTTCAAGGGAAGCTTACACAAGATGAAAGGTGTCTATCAAATGCCTACTTCCAAGCTGGTGCTGGGTAAAGATTATCTTTCATTATCATCATCATTATTAGCGTTATTGCCTGAATGATGCCTCTCAAGGAAGGAGCTGAATGCTAGAGGGTCTTTCCTACTTCCTTTTTTGTGCCCAGTCAAGGACATACCACCCAACTGTCTACAGACAAGATGGAGTATCAAAATTAACCCAGAATAGGCCTGGTCTGAGACAGCTCTTGGCTTTGGTCTTGAAAAATTAAAGACAAGGCTTTCTGCTAATTACCCTAAACTTGGGAAGAATCACTTCTTGCAGAGGGGGCAAATGCTGATAAAACTTACCTCTCAATTCTATCTTTCCCCTTTTCCTAGCTATAGAGGCATCTTCTTTGGCTTGGCAAATTTAGGCCCAGTACCTAGACTGCTCTGCACATAGCATGTTGAGCATTGAATGAGTAAATGGCCTTTCCAACCTGTGGACTTCAGAGGTTTTCTAGTTCCTGTGGTTTAGACAGAGGGAAAAGACCATGATGAAGAGGAGAGACTATGATTTGAGAACCAACAGATTAAATCATATTCTATCTGTGTTCTTAAGATGAGGACTGTGCATTTTACTCCTTCCCTGGTCAAGTCTGTCCTGACTTCTCTCTGAAAGGTCTAGAAGCTCCTATCACCTTTCCTCCTCCGGGGCTTAGTGAAAGGAAAGCAAAGGCCATCTTTGGTTAACATCGTTACAGGTGATAGGAGTGGCTTCGAGTTAGGTCGGGTGAGTCCTCCAGGATGCCTGTGCTTGCTGGTAGTTGGTTTTGGAAAGCAATAAGGCCTCTTGAGGCCTCAGCCTACAGCCCCCACTAAATAATCAACAGAGTGTCTTATCTTTTTCTCTTCAAAGCAACCTGTGGAAGTTGGCATCACCACCGCGATATTTTAGAGATGAGGAAAGAGACTCGAGAGGGGAAGTGACTTGTCCAAAGATCACACAGTAAGAAAATGGCAGGCTGTGATGACAATTGTGGTTGTCCTGTCTCCAAACATACCTGTCTGTGCCATACCATGCTGGTTTGTTGGGAAGACACCATAAGTGGGTTTCCTATTGGTCAGAAGCACCCACAAAGCACTTTGCATTCTTCACCCAGCTTTCTTACGATTTGAGAACCAACAGATTAAATCACACTCTGTGTTCCTAAGATGAGGACTGTGTTTTTTACTCCTGCCTGGCCAAGTCTTAGCACTGGGCTGTCATCCAAGTCAGAATGCAGATGATTGAACTGATCAGGCCCGAGGGCTGACCAGCTTCCTAATCGGGACTAATTAGCAACAGGTTTATCCTTCTCATCCCTCTGATCCTGTTATTCCATTCCAGAACCCAGAGTGTGGCTCTCTGAGGCTCAGGGGCTGGGACTAGAGTGCATATGGATGGGGAAGGAGGCAAATGATATGCTTCACTCCTCTCTTCCTAAGGAAGCTCCCTGGTTCAGCTGCTGCTTTTTTCCTGCTGAA